AACCATGTTGATAATCCGTTTTGATTTAAGGTTTACAAAAGAATTCTATGAAGATTTCTACGTCTAAGTTAGGTTTTTTAGAATTTAGCGAAATAGTTTCGCAGTGTTTTCTTGGAAAGTCGTGGGGGTAGAGGTGAAAGAATATAAATGAAAATATATTCTTTATTATACTAGATCTTATCATTATAACGAATTAGGAATGGAACTACCGAATTAAAAAATGACTTTCCAAAACATAATTGTTTCAGTCTAAGTGACTCGATACTGTCAGATATTTGCTTTTTAAATCCATATTGGATTTTTTGAATTTTTTCCCTTTTCTCTTTCTTCCCTTCAATTTATAATGATAAAAAAAGTGAAGTTCAGTTTATAATGATAAAGAAAAGTGAAGACTAACTTCTAACAATTAAATTTTAAATCTGCAGCTGAATTTGGGTGATTGGACGTTGCTGAAATTATTGATTGAAACGCTTCGAACTTGGAAACCAATGACGCTTATGGATAATGTTGAAACTCCTTCTTTGATATCGCCAATTCCTGTTTTGGCCATATCAACTTCTCCAAGTTCAATGCAAGAGCAAAAAGATCGGCTTGATATGCAGGTCTTTTTTTTCTTAAATCTAAATCTTAGATGCTCCCAAATGTTAATTTGATTTAATGCAAATTTATTTATTGATATTAGCAATTTTGAATAATAAAGCAGAGTTTGAAATAGCAGTCCATCAAGCTTTTCCATGATCGTTCATTTTATAAATGTATTTATCAGATTTTATCTTATTCACATCAAACATAGTTTTTTAGAATTTTGATCCACACTATTGAAGATATAATCAAATGAAATGTCTATAATTCTCTTAAGCAAGCAGTATAGCTTTCTTTTCTTTTTTTTTAATGCCAGTAAATAATGACTGAAATAAGACTGTAGATGACTTGGAATTTAAAATCAAATTTATTTCAATTGTTGTGTTTTTTTTCTTTAATATTATTATTTTACGGAAAGATTTGTTATTGCTTATTGATCTACTGTTTCTTTTTCTATCACAGTATAGAAGAATTAATAGGAATGCTGTACAAATTGCAGATTATATTTGTTAATTAGATATAGTGAAATTTTTAGTCAGTATGCAGTATAGCATTAAATTTAGACAGAAATGGAAGGTGATCATAAGTGGATACTGGAAAGTTTTTCTGGTATGGATGTTGCAGAAGTAGATGATGTACTTCCTGCTTCTTCTGTACCATCCGTTCATTTTGATGATGGAGTTGCATCGGAACGGGATAGCACTGAAAGTGTTTGTGGATCATATGAAAATTTGTTGGATTCTGAATCCATTTTGCAAACCCGGTCGGTTTCTTTTTTATTTTTTGTTTCTACTTTGGAAATTCCATGAAATTGTCAAATGTGGAATTGTTTTAAAATTATAAGAAATGAAACAATTAACAGTACTTGGCACTTAATGCAAATATCAACTACAAAAGATTTATAGAAATCTCTGATATATTTCTGCCTTGTGTTAATTATGTAAACATTCTTGCTTATTATCAGTGTTTCGTATATAGTTCAAAATTTGAACAAAGTTTACAGCTGACATTAGTAATGTATTCAGGGCATCCATTTTTTTTCTTAATTTTATTTCTTCGTTAGCACTGTTCTTCGTTTCCATTGAAATGCAAAAAGATGTGAGATAAATTGATAATAGCTATGAAAAACTGTTTTCTTTGAAAAATTTACCGTACATTAGTATTTTTTGCATATCACGACGATGTCGTGCACAATTTTTCAGAATTTTCTAAAATATTTTTACTAACGCTGCTCAGGCTTGTAGTACGCATTGCTTTTAGTATTTTTGAGTTGTAGCTGGGAAAGTTTTTTAAGTGAATCAAAGTTTTCGGAAAAAATTTTTTTGAAAAGCTTATTTATTAATTATGAAATTAATTCTCGAACTACGTTCAAATATTATCAGTAAATCTTCATAATTTTTCATCAATTTTTTTTTTAAATAAAAGATAATGTCAGAAGTGAGAATATGAATGTAATGACGAGACGAGCACGATATGGCCTTCAGCACCGATATAAAAGGTATCGTGTGTGATGTTGGCTGTATTCTTTTTAAGCTGATTACATTTGGCATGGCTCTAACATCTCTGATATTTAATCCAGAAATGAAGGCTTTAAAAAGAAGAAATTTGATTAGATTTGAGTGACATTGTTGGATTTTTAAAAGGCTTGCTTTTTACTATCTTTTGCATATATTCCTTTCATTTTTTTTTCTTTTGATTTTATTTTTATTTAATATATTATCCATATATTTATTTGATTTGAGTAGTTGCTTGATTTTGGTTTGCTTTTTTTGTAATAATTCTGACCTTTATTGGAATTCAAATTCCATCAATGTTTGTAAATAATGGAAACAATAACTTATAATTGTGAATGAGGTGTAACAAAAAGATTCATGCATTTATATTTGTTTTAATTTTTTATTCATTTTTTTCTTTTCCATTAATCAATAATAGCTTAAATTTAGTGAAACAATAAGCAGCTTGCATGTTATTTAATGTATTATTGTATGCTTTTATACTTTTGCATTCTTCTCGTATATAACATAGTTTAAATCATGTTGTGTAATATTTACTACTGCATGTTGTTAACTCATGAGAAATGTCGGAATGAAATCTACGGTAACATTTGATTCGAGATCATCTTTATGATAAATGTATTACTAAAAATAGATAAAATTTAATGATTTTTATATTTCGCAATTTAATTATTTGTGTCCTTTCTCAAAAAATCAAAATTTTTAATCAGAACTTCCGTTCAGATACTCATTGGCTAACATTTATGAATATTTTGTTTCCGAAATTCAAAATATAAGTCATGACGAAGATTTTATTAGTTGTAACAAATATTTTTAGACTTAGTAGAGGGGAAAAAAATGTTCCTATGTTGGAAGTATAATGTTCATTTTTTAATTATCGCAAAACTACTCGAAACAGTTTTTTTTTTTTTTTTTCTTTTCATCATTTGAACTTTTTTTGGAGCATTTTTTTTTTCTTTTTGTTCAAATAGAAGATGCAAATTTAAGGGAAGAATTAGGGAGCACAGCAGTTGTGGATTCAATTCATTCTGATGTGAGCAATACAGGAACACAGAGTCGATCAGCTTCTCGAATTCATCTACCAATTATTCTCGATATTTCCGATAATCAGCAAACAGTGAGAGAAGTAAGCCCATCTAAGCGGCTTTCAGTATTAGGTGTTTTTAATCATAATCATGGTGATTGTTAACTTTTTTTCTCCGTAGCTCCTCTAAAACGGTAATTTGTGAATGATAAGAAATAATATGTTTAGCTTAACCATGTTAACGATTCATGTAATATATCTTATCAATTATGAAACAAATTCAGTTCCATCTATATTTATTGTTTACTAACTTTACTATCAACTTATTATGTGTTGCACTCATGTTTTAGTAGAATGATAAATCATATGCTTTTTATTCAGTTCATATTTTTCCTAGATTCAATTTAGCATCGACCCAAGGCTTAACATGAATGTTCTTTCCTTTTGAAATTATCTTCTGAAAATGCTAATTGTCAATACTCAAATTAAGGGCGAGTTATTAAACTTAACTGTATCAGTTCTTTTATATTATTAATTCATTCGGTCTTCATAATATCGGTTTCTCGCTTTTCGGGTCGTATTAATTAATATTGATTTAATGATACTAATTAACATTAATTCTCATATGATTTTCTTGGCACTTTAATCATGATCGGAAATATTATTTATACTTTATAGCACAAATTGATACGAAATGATGAAGTTTTTCGTTTTTTGATGTATGATGGCTTTATTGTGATAATAATAATAATGAGACAGTTGATTTGGTGTTAAAAATCAGTTAATATCGGTCAAAAAAAAAATACGCTATCATCCTAATCTATCCTTAATAACAATAGCCAAGAATTTCATCCATCCTTTGTTTTATTGTCTTCTGATGATAGTTTAACTACAACATTGTGAATTTTAGTTGAACAGTGAAACAGTGAAATTAGTTGAATAGTGAAATTCTGAAATTTTTCTTTATTATTATTATTATCATGTACAATCTTATTACTTACGTTAATTATATGTATGTCTGTCATAGGGAAATAAATTATTTTTGCCAACAAAATATTTCAAGTGAAAAGATCCTGTTCCTATACTGATCGGGATGTTTTTTTTTTTTTAAAGTTGTTGAAAAAGAAGAAAATTGGTCGCAAGGTATATGTTTTTTTTTTTTGCATATTTTTTATTCCGAATTATTTATGTTCTGAAGCTGTGATATGATTCCATAGATATTCATTTATGTGTCCACAGATATACATTTATAGACAGGAGAAGTTACATTTGTATCCATACTTTTAGTAGAACCTAACAGAATTGAAGTTCCCGACATTTCCATACAACAAAAATGGCAAATGAATATTTACTGAAAAGTATGTTCTTTAAAATTTTTCAGTTTAGTTCTTTGTTTTTCTTGAAATCTTTGAGAAATGTAAACATCATCATATTGATTGGAGACGTTTGTATCCATAGCAACAAATATTTATTGCTCTTATCCCAAGAATGCTACCAATAATTCACTACTGCTTAAAGCTAAATTAAGTAGCCTTATTTCTTTTAAATTTATATTCGAATTTCATTGATTTGACATAAGCTGGTCGTGGAAAGTTCACACAACTCTTGTGAGTCACTCGAATAAGAAATGTCGGTATATATGCATTATTTCTAAATTATATCTTATAATGTAGAAAAAAAATATTTAAGTTTTATTAATTATTGAGATATTTTTTGCACTTCTAGAAGAATTGATGGTATATAGTAAAAAACAAACTTTCCGCATCGTTAATTGGCTCTTATTTATCGTTGCTTCCATATCTTGGATTTGTGTTTTCATTGCTAGTGTTAACATTTCAAAACGTTATATCGAAAAGTACGTCTCAACTCCTGTCAAATAAATGAAATACAAAATACTATATGAGAAGGTTAATTTAATTTAATTTTTTTAAATTTATTTTAGAACCAAAGACTGTCAGCATATACTTATGTATGTATACTTAGATTTCTCCACATTTGCTGGCAGTGTATTTGTAATAGTTTACCTGTGCGCAACTACTTAAACATTTTAAATTATTTAAATTATTTTGAATTAATAAATTAAATTAACTTGCTTTAACAAAATAGCTTAGAAATGCGAATTTTAAAAAATTTCTCAGTAATTATTAATTTTTCAGCCTTGTACATGGAAATACAAAGCTTCAAAATACACAACAGCATATTGTTGTAGCGTTACCCTTTCTATATTCACATTATTGTTCACACTATTCGTTGCATTCACGGCACAAGTGATTTTTATTTTTCGAATAATTTAAGATATTGGTTGCTCGGGAAAGGATAATTTTATTATTAATTACTTTGTCATCCTAATTGTTTGGAATCAGTGAGCAAAATTAAGATTTCTCGAAGTTATTCATTTAGTATTATGGGTGTTTATTGTGTTTTAATATTTATTAATCTTTTCAAAATTTTTAATCAAAAATCCTTAACACTTTATGATTCCCAGAATTTATGCAAAGATGGATGAATCTGTAGTTTATCGATTAATTTCAGGGTTTTTGGAAAAAATTCAGCGAATATCGAGAGCAAGCAGCAGTTTATTACAAACAACGATTTATCATATTACTGAAAGGAAAAGCACCAAATAATTACTACGTGTGGAGTTCATATCCACTGCTTAACCATGCTGAAGAAACACATATACGGATAGCAGTAATCGAAGAGTATGAAAGTGATTTTAATGATGATGGAAAACCTGATTTGGTAAATTCGAGTTCACTTTTATACAAAATAGTTTTTCTAACAGTACAAAAATATAAAATTTATTTATTATTCTTCTTACTTACATAAATCAGATATCAGAAAAGTTTTGTTTTGAATTGAGCATTGCTCATAATTGTTAAGAATAACTTACCTTGTCATTCCATTCTTTTGATTTTAATTTTTTTTAGATTGAATTAAATGTCACATTTCCTATTGAAAGAAAAGATGAAGTTTTTGGAGTTTTTTACATGTTTTTATTTGATTATCAACTTGATGAAAGGTCACGCTTTTCGGTATATATTTTCTTTGCTTCATAAACAGTTTTTCAAGATAAATATGCTTTAGTTTCCTTAGCAGTTAAAATTAAAGCCTTTTTATGCAAAAATCTATGGAAAAGTTTCTTAAAATAGTCATTTTTTAATCATCATATAATAAAAATTGAGCCCAGCTTTCGAAATATTCATTCCTCTAGCATTTGAAAAGGCATAAAGTGTTTTTTACAAATTTGATTTAAAATTAAGGAAGTTTCAAAAGTTTCTTTAAAAAAATTACAGATGGAAACTGCAGTTCTTGATGATTTGGATCATGCAACTGAATCGTCATCATTAACAGTTTCTGGTGATCTTTGGTTAGATCAAGCGGCTCCACTTTGGAGTAGTGGCCGAGACCCAGATCATGGAGGAGCATTGATCAATGAATCAAGTTTAGATTTAGCACAGTATAATCCTACCACAATTCTCTTACGTAATTCTTTTCGAAATTTCACAACAACTTTGAGAAGGTAAATTGTTTCAAAAGATTTTTTGCTTATAATTTTTTCCTAATTTTGTTTTGCATTTTCTTTTCGTCTATCTCATTATAAGGTTGTTAATATGAAAATAAGTTCTTTTTAGGTTAGCTAAACTTAAATTCGTTTGATGCAGTTATCAATTCTGTGCATTCACTTTGCTTATTCTTTTCCATTAAATAAAGCATTATTATCTTTTCATCATTCATTATAAATTTCTAGCATCCTCTCACTTTTATTAATATGTTTGCGTTCCGGATTTTTTTTACTGCGGGGGGAGAGCCTAATCTTTTAGTACAAATATATCTATTATTACTCAAAATTGATAGATAAGGTGAATCTCCAATTTAAAATAGTAAAGTATCACTGGATGCCAACATGTAAAAGTTGTGCATAAAATCCTTTATTTTTTTCCTTTGTTTTCTTAAATAATGCGATCATTATAATGTACTTATATTTAGCTTGCAATAATTTAGAAGTACAGATAGGTAAGATTTTTAATGAGATCGTATAGTTAATTTTTCATATCTAGTTTTCGGAATCTTTTCTAAAGTCTTTTCATTGCATTTACTGCTGTTACACTTTGAACATCAAGTACTATATTAAATTAGTTGTTGCTTAATTCCATATTTCTTTTTTAATTACGAAAACTTTAAATAATAAATAATAATAATAATAGGAAAGTTGCAAACAATGTAGTAATTGACAATAATTGAAGGAGAAGATGCGATTTGAATAAGAGAAGTAACCACAGTGGTTAAAATTGTGATGTAATTAGTGGTTCTAATTAGCAAAATTTCAAAGAGCTTGCGAAAGGCTTATGTAATTAGTAATTGAAAAGTTTTTATTTTTTTCTTACGAATTTAGTTTCGTTTCTTATGTGTTTTTAAGAAAATCAATTGCATGGATGCCTAAGCGAGCTGACAACAATAACTTCGTACTACATCTATCGATACGGATTGTTGAACAACAACTGCTTTATCGAACAGGTCTTCTGGAACTCTTGAAATGGGCATGGATTCAGTATTTTGCATGTTTCATTATCATTCATTATTTCATTAATAAATTACGACAATTTTTGTTTGAAAATCATCTCCTCAGTACGATCATTGTGCGACCAAATCATTTGAATGAATTGCAAAGGTAAATGACAATGAGCAACAATGATAATAAAGAAGAAAAAAATAGACAAGCAAAAAATAAAAGATTATATTAAGTTTTCATTCATTTTCTAAATGGGAATTGTTTGAAAATTTTTCAGAAATTATTCATTGGTATATGTGATGCAAAAAGAAAAAAAAAACATTTCATACCAAAAATTAGTTTAATTAAGCATTTTTAAATGTCGCAAAGAAGATGAAATGGTTAAATTGAAGCATTTTGCGGAAAGTTTATGTAAAAATTAAAGAAATAATTGTGAACTAACTATTGTTTATCTGTTTTGTTTTGTTTTGTTTTATTCTGTTTTGATTGATATTACAGCAACATCTTTTTTCCTTCTTTTTAAAATCTCAGTTTGGTTTATCATAAATCAACAATTTCTATTGTATTTAGGATTTACTTGCTGGAAATGATATATGATTATTGTTAGTAGCTTTTCGGTAACATATTACCGAAAATTTTTTTTATGAGGATTGCTATGATTAAAGCTTTGTAAATCATTCAACAAAAAAAAAAAAAGGAACGTTTCCTCTTTATTTAATCATTTTTACACCATCTTATCTTGTCCAATGGTTTATAGTTGTCGTTATAAACTTCCTATTGAGCAGCAAAAAAAAAAAAAAAAAATTTAGAATATTTTAAAAAGGATTAAAAGCTAAAATTAAATACCAGGTGCTATGGATATTATTTGAAAATTTTTAAAGAGTAACTATCTCAAGAATGCATTCCTTCAGAGATCGGGTATTTTGTTAATATGTGAAAATTTTCACAAAATATGAGTGGTATGTCATACACTGATACAAATAGCGTGCTTATCTAGTTATCACCTATGATAAATGTCAATTTATTATGAATAATATTCCTTGCCAATTAATCAAATAGATCATTCTCTTCGAATAATCCTTGGATATTCTCTTTGAGTATAATATTTTGTCGTATGGGCCATACTGAGTGCGTTAGAAAAAAATCCTGCATAAAAGAATATGATAAAAGATAGAAGAATATTTCCCTCAAGAATTTTCTTTTTTTTTTTTTTTGCTAGTAAATGGATTTTTTTACCTTTTTTAAAGTTAAAAATTAGGCATATTTAGGATGAGATAGTAAGCATAAGTTTTTATTTGATAACGATTATTTTGAAAAATTCAAAGCAATGATAAATTAATGAATGAAAATTTTTGATCGATGAAGGATCTTTATCCTAATTTTTTCTTTTTTTTTGTTTTAACATTTCAAAAGATGCAAAAAAGTGGCCAATAATTGAATAAGCATCGAAAGATCATCGAAGCCGTTCATTCCATATAAACATTCCATATCGATGCATCATCATCATCATTATCATCATCATGCTAATTACGTTAAATGTCATTGATATAAAAATGAGAATACTAATAAGTTAATTTGTTAATGAGAAATAACAGGGAAAGAAAAATTAAGAATTGAAACTGAAGCAGAAAAACAATGAGAAAAAGGAAGGGGTGGGCAGAGAGAGAGAAAGAGAGAGGAAGAAAAAAAAATTAATGAATTCAGGTATTGCAACATAATGATCGAAAGTATGGCATAGAACATCTCTTATAGCAACATTCCTCTGCTATGTTCTGTAATAGTTTCTTTCCATCCATATGTATTCCATTACCTAAAACTTGAAAATTTTAAGTTATACAATAAAAAAAAATTATAATTCACGAGAAGAAAGAATATAACTTTGCAATAACTTAAGTAAAGTTCAAATCAAAAGTAAGGAATTGCACCAAATGTTGTATCATAACAGAATATCACTCAAGAAGCAGTCCAATCGAATAAAAAAAGCAAAACAGTTTAAGTAATAGATCTTGAAATAGTTTGAATTCTAGAATATAAATAAATAGAAATTAATTTTTAAAATTTGAAAAATAACAAAGAAGAAAGTAAATTATACAAAAATATTTACATAATTATTTCAAAATTTTTGAAAAAATTGTCAACATAGTTAGTAGAATTAATTTTTAAATAACGCCACTGTTTTTAACCTATTAATAATTAATTAGTCAATGATAATTGAACAATTTTTGAATCTTTAAAAATTAAACAAAAACAAATAGAAAATTACTGTCTAGTACTCACTATAGTCTGATGATATAGCAAATCGTAAACATCCATTACAAGCCAATGTAATAAGTGATGATATCCGATCGATGCAAATACCTGTCGAGAGTGATGCTACCTTAGACCATTGTATTGCAACAATGCCGAATAATAAGACGGTGATAAACATAGATGGACATTCCATCTTATTTATGCATGTAATGTCCACGTTATCTACTGTAAAATTAGGATTTGAATTTTTCATAAATAATGCATTTCATTTAGATGAATAATCATAGCTTTAATAGTGGCATTTTAATTATTTTTTAATATGACGCATCGAAGAGATAATACTATGTATAGGTAAAATAGTAATAAATGAATTGAAAGTTTGTGTAAAATTAAGAACACAAAATGTTAGCAATATAATTTCGCGCCCATTTTATTGAAAAATAAGATATTGCAGTTGAGATTTTTAAAAAAAAGTGAAATCTTTTTTTTTAAAAAGCTATTGATCATTTCGGTGATAAGATGTGGAAGACGTACGTCAACGAATGGTACTGACAGGAACTAAATCGATGAATCGAAAAGATGAAATATCAGTGATATTAACTTGTGAAAATTTTTAAAGATTATATAATTAACGATGCAACTGCTTAATTATATTTAATTTTACAATTAACGATATAATTTAATACATTCTTAATCAATTTCTCCAAAAATCGTTTAAAATGAAAATAGATTACATTTGAAATTTGAACGATAACATTTTATTCTTTGTTATTTTATAAAATAATAAATGTGTAAAGTTATATATATAGTAAAGTTATATATATATATATATATATGAGCAGTAATGATTGTAATGAATGGTAATATATTATTTGAGATGAGAAGAAGGAATTAATGGCATTGGATTATTATCATAAAATTTAATGGTTTATGGGAAATGTAAATGAATGGATGCAGAAATTTTCATTGAATATAATAAAATTTAAAATAATAGAAAATGAAAGAAATTGAGCATTGAAAAAAAACAAAAGAAAAAGAAAAAAATTCACTAAAAAAACGAAGTGGCAGTTTTTTTTTTTCTTTTTTTTTAAAACACCTTTAAACAAAGAGATAGTTTTTTTTTTTTTTTCTTAACATTTAATAATTTGTAAGTAAAAATATTATTATTCATAGTCTATGCAAGAGAAATAAGAAAAAGTTATTTCAATTGCTCATGATTTTAATGATTTAATTTTGTAAAGGATAAAGGATTTAATTTTAAAAAAATGCATAGTTTTAGAGTGCATTTGAAAAATTTTCAAATTTATTTTGAATTTTGATTTTTTTCCTGAAAAAAAGAAAAAAGAAATGAAACGAAAACAAAGTAAGTAAGTGTAAACAAGAAATGAAACAAGACAAATGATCATTTTTTTTAAGTTGAATAATAATAATTAAAAGAGAAAGAAAAGTAAAATATATTTCAAGGAAAATGGAATTGTTTAGAGAAAGAGAGAGAGAGAGAGAGGGAAAAAAAAAAGAAAATGCTAGGTAAAAATTAATTGCTCAACAAAGTTAATCTCTAGTTGGAATTTGAAAATTATAATTTTCATTTTATCTTTTTAATATATTCAAAAATAAATGGAATTTTATTTTTAAATTATTTAATAATAGATTTAATAATAGAAATGGACAATTTATTATCAATTTTACGCCTTCCTGACTAATCTCTTTAAAAATACTTTACATTTATTTTTAATAATCACATTGAGATAATAAAGCAGTGGTTGTGAAAATAAAAGGCTTAATTTTTGCTGAAGCGCAGATGTTAATCATTGCAATCATATCATTTGCATAAAGCGAAATTATAGTCTGTTTCGAGACTAACGTTTTGAGTGAAGTTAATTAAGCTTTTTTAGCTTGATGATTAATGAAATGATAAATGAAAAAGATTTGGATGCAAAAGAGAGGTATGAAATGCAGCCATACAAAAAAGCAAACAATAGTTATCGATAATATTTAAAATGATTTAGAGAAATTTATTGATAAAATTTTAAAACAAATTCTGATAAGTTTGATAATAACTTTTGTATTTTATTTACTCTAGCATATTTGAGTTATTTGAGAAATATTTGACAAGCATTTAATATGATTGATTTTTTCAGCAGAATTGAACATAAATCATCTAGAGAAAGGATATTATCGATGACAATTTCTTGACCATTATTAAAATTCAATAAGGATAAACAAAAAATGGGACAAATTCTTGTAATATTTTAGATTCAGCCAATAATGCTAAAATACAGAAAAAGATTTATGAAATAAAAATTAAAAAATTCCTGAAATTTTTAACTTAACCAAATAAAGAGATTCGCAAACTATTGTGCAAATAGATTTCCAAACAAGCGTTATTTTCTTTTTGAACTAATAATGCGATCCTATGTTTGTTATCGTTCAAAATTAATTGTACACTTCCATTCATACATTTCATCAAAGACAGATAATTGAAATTCAGTTAAACCTATTATCACTTTTTGTTTCCTGAAATTATACAAAAAAACATTTACATCTAATTGCACAGGTATAAAAGAATGGCACTACCGATTTACTTTAGTAATCACCAAATAAAGAGTGATAAGTAAATTATATATTTATTTTAAAAAATTCCTCAAAATTTTAGTTCCAGCAATGAAAATATCACTAAGGATTGTAAATTTATTCATATGTTCCACACGTAACGTTGATGATTTGAATATCTTGAAGTAAGACTTAAACATGAAGTAAGACTCAATCTTTTTCATTTAGCCATTTGTCCCACAATTTTTTCATGCAAAAAGTATTTATATTCAAGCAGTACGATTGTTCATTTAATTGATTGCTTGTTTTTATTGCAGTTATTACTATAAGTATCAGTTGCTAAAGATTTATAAGGTATAAATATTAGTGGATGTAATGATGATGCATCAAGATAATTTGTTATAAACATCGAATAACATTGCTAAAGTATTTTTACTTTATGCTAAAATAAGACTATTATTAGATTATCAAAAAGAATTCAAATTTGAAAATTAAATTTTAGCATGTAGAAATGAAAATTTGGTTCATGTTCGAATTTATTCATTTTCTCCCAATTAATCAACTGATTTTTTTTTCCTTTTTTTACGTGAAATTTTAATGACGATTCTGCACATGAGTTCTCGAATTCATAAAGTTTTTAGAGCTAACTTTGTATGATTTGAGAAAAGAATTCAAATGCAATTAATTTTAAAAAATCTATCTTACGTTCCTCATTCACTACAATCTTTTTCCATTAATTCAAATTATTTTCAAAAGTCGAAAAACAAGACAAAACCAAAGTTAAGTAAGTGTGAAAGTTGTTATAATTCGACAAAATATGAAGCAAGCATTTAATTTATAATTTTCGCCAAATATTCTTCTCTAAAATAGTGAATTTGTTGAAAAAAAAATTTGGCATTAACAAATTTATCTTCACAGTATTGAGATTTCTTAACTTTCAATTCCCTTTGCTTTTCAATTTAAGAGTTATACAAAAGTATGATTTAAGGTACCTTATTAATGCGTTTGAGAATATTATGAGTAGTGCGAAAATTTTTGAAAATTAAATTAAAATAAATGCTTCATAGAAGTCATAATAATAATGAATTGTTTGTTAAATGACTAACAAAAGTACACTGCAAAAAAGGTGAAATTATCTTTTCAAGAAATGTTACTCTAACAGAGCATAATAACATTCAAAACAGCTGCTACAACTCAGTTCATATCAAATTTCCCGCATCACTGGGATGTATTGTTGCATTCCGATCACATGAATACGGCCATGTTTGTTACTGTGAATTTCGGAGAGAAGCAGAAGACTGTCTAGTTATAGAAATAGTGTGAGGACAGTGAATGAGAAACATGGAGAAAGATAGGAAGAGTGTGGGAGTAAATGGATTAAGATAGAATGGAAAGACTGTGCGAACTGTGTGTTTGCTATTGATAGCAGTAATTGAGAGTAGTGAATGTCGAAGAAAAAAAGAAATCTTCGAAATGTAGAATTATCATGTAGTGTGATGAGGGTACAGTCATATTAATTTGCTCGGTCAGAAATGCAGGGGCAAAGAGTCATAAAATTTCCGATCGGGGGGTGCAGATGAGCGGGTTTCCTGGATAGCTGGTATTCATTGAGTTCTCTCGGGTTTAATGTCGCAGTCCGTAGGGATACGTACAAAGCAGATTTTAAAATATTATCGAGCTGTGAAATTTGTCAGTGAGGAAAGGATGAATGGATGATTGAGTTCTACTAAATTAAATATTCACAATCTCAAAGATACGTACAAAGCAATTTTTCAAATATTGTTGACGAAAAGCCACCTGAAATTAGTAATATTTTATAGGCATATGATATACTGACTTCATATGCAAAAAAAAAATGACAGTTGGAAGTGTTATGACAACAAAAGCTATCCAAGTGGATCCCCTGATGGAGGCAAGTTTGATTAATTAAGATTAAGTTAATTCTTAGTAATAGAATGTATCAGTTGTAGTTTTCTTTACATTAATGAGATAATGTCTCTCTGTTCTTAATTAAGGAACAAAGAGTCTTTCTTTTCTCCCTAATTCTCTGTTAATTTTGCTTGTTAGTTTTACGTGAAATATTATTAGTGGTAGTAGTAAGCCATGACTGATTATTTGTCTATAACGAATAATTCTGGCATATTGTGAATAATCAATAAACTAGACCGAACAAAAATTTAGCCAGTGATTTCTCTTATTACGGTAGGTGTTTTTTCCACACATTTCTCCACACAGTAATCTGATTTTTTTTTTGTTAAATTTTAGATAGCTCGACAATACTGGGCTCCATATTCGCTCCATAGTCGTCCATTTGATCCAAATTTAGTAGATGCGGTTTACAAAAATGAATTATTACAAAACCTTTTCATGCAAAAGAAAGTCGTCGTATTGGAATTCAGGTTCTTCTTACCTTTTAGTTAAAAATTGAGACGTATTCTTTAAGAATGTACGACTTTTCCTTGTCTTTAAAGAAAAACTCATGGTTTTGTCGTTGGTGTTTCCGGCACAAATCCCTGTTTTTTGCCTTCTTTTTTTCGTTCTGTTTTTTTGATTTTGCCATTTAAGATGAATTAAAGAAAAAAAGATGTCGACGTAAACCTTACGTTTCAGTCAGTATCTCGAGCGTTATCTCTGGCCAAA